GTTCTAGAATACGACTCACAGGGTCGTATCTCTACTCAATACTCAAGTCAGGACTTGAGTATTGCAGTGAGCACTGAAAATCATACTCAAGTCCTTGCCGTTAGGGTCGTATTTCCAGTGCTTGAAATCATACTCAAGTCTGCTCAAGTCCTGACTTGAGCATTGAGTATAGTTCTGGAATACGACTCTGAGAGTCGTATTCTAGAACTGTACTCAATGATTTTCAGTGCTCACTGCAATACTCAAGTCAGGATTGCACTGGAAACACAAGTACTGTAAATACGACCCTAATGGCAGGGACTTGAGTATGATTTCGAGTGCTTTAAACCATACTCAAATCCTGACTTGAGCATTGAGTAGAGTTCTAGAACACGACTCTTAGACCCTGAATGCAATAACACTCCGGAGGTTGAATTCTGCGCATCAAAGAAGCTTTTCTCTTTCGCATTGAATGAAATATTTATATAAAATGAAAACGTTGTAAATTGCAATAATAGTTATTATTGATCTTTCAACGATATGCCAACTGGGAAATTTTAATTATATTAACAGTCTGGTATTTGTTACGTCTTTGTTAGAAAACAACTAAGTCAGAAACTATGACCAATCACTAATGCCCAAGTCACTGCTTGGTACGTCTCAGGACGAACTCTTTCACACTGCTATAAAACGATTATTTGGCCTCAGTCTATAAGATATACAGATAAAAGACATAATTATTAAAAGCAGGCTTTATCTAATCACATGTTGTCAAACAAAATTATCCGAAATGATACGTACTCGCACTTTAGTGTTGCAAAGAATGTAAATGTATGCTGAATTATCGCTGCCCCGGTTAACGGTATCTGTTAAAGATAACAGTAAATTCTACTGTCAGAAAACAACATCTTTTTTAAGACAATAACAACACACAACCACACCAATTTACTGGTCTGAAAGTAAGTAATTTCCTGTATTAGAAGTCTACACTATACATTCTACACTATGTTGTCGATGTTTTGTAAAAAATTAATTCGCAAAATTTTTCAGGGGACATGGTTTACTTTTTCACGATTGTTATAATATATATATAATTTACGTAATAGATAACAATTATATGAAAGTTGTAATGAACCACAATAAATAAAATTATAAAAATCCACAGTTTTTCTCCTACACTTCGAATAAGACTCTCTCTACACACAAAGTTACTGAGAGTTGAAATAAAGGAATCATGGAATAAACACAGTAATGTAAATCTGGAGTAGGCATTCCCTTGTAGCCATAGTTAGGTTCCATAGTACTTAAACGCGCGTCAAAGCTCTCATTGGTGTTAACAGGATTTCTAACTTAAAGCCATTAGCCGGAACATATAGCTGATGTCAAACACCGTCGCGTAAACAAGTCTGCAGTCTGCGAGCATGTCATTGATAAACCTACACATTCAATGAAGTTTGACAAACTCCAGGTCCTTGCAAAAGAAGTCCGTTATCTACCCACAACGCTGCGAGAGGCAATTGAAATTTAAAAAACATCCTAATCTCAACAGGGAAGATGTTTGCTCCGCACCACCAATTTGGGATCCAGTATCGCCTCTAAAGAAAAATCCCAAACGGACATACATAATACTGAGTACTAATTGTATGTTTTAATTTATTCTAATCTCCATTATTAATTAATGATAAATTTAATATAATCAAAATGTTATTATTATGCTAAATTTATTGTTGAAATAAAATAATTCATAAAACATCATGTAGCCTAAATTGGAATGTTCCTTTGTAAAATTAAAAATAAGGTATTTAATTAATAACTTTTGTAGTTATAGTGAAAAAATAGGGTGGTTTGCATTAATATTAGACATAACTGGTAGTGATTGAGTGAAAGAGACTCAGTCTTTTAAGGCCTTTTAAAAAACCTAGACTAATTTTTAACGCGTCAAGACTACTCTAGTCTTTTAACCCTAGGAAGCTTAAAAGACTTATAGGACTAAAACGACTAAAACGACTGGCGCCTCAAAGCCTCGAGAGTCGCGAGCCGTATGGCGTGATTTTTTTTCTATCAACAAGGTATCTATTTTACGATTTTTATTATAAATAAATAAAAGTGACTACTTACTACATACTACTTACGTCATTTTTATGTATAAACTTCGGGTTTAATAAGATATAAAATAGGTATATAAGTCCTTTGCAAAAAACTCGAGTCGTTTAAGTCTTTCAAGTGATTCAAGTCGTTTAAGTCTTTTGAGTCTTTTAGTATAACGACTGAGTCTTATTAATAAAAACTCGTCTAGTAGTAGTAGTCTTAGAATAATAACGCATAGAAACCTAGCCCGCACACGCTAAGTGAGGCAAGTTAGAGGGTTCCAAACGCGTCCCAGGAGCGCGCGGGCTGTTAGTGCTCAAGGTCATATTGCACCGCGAACAGCTCCAAAATTTTTTGCTAAAAATGACGAAATGTGCGGTAAATGGGTGTAAAAATACAACAGACAAACAAAATAGACACTAACATCGCATTCCACAAGTAAGTAATGCGTTTCAACTCATATTTATATGTAAATATTCACTAAAACAGAAAAATAATTTCGCGGCAACAAGATACGAAAGTGTTGCAAAGTAACGAATTTTTTTTCTCCCCATTTTGCTATTCTGTATCAAAATAATTATATTACGTAAATTTTAGTGGTGCCTGTAATTTAGATTTATTTGCGCATCTTGAACTAATATTTACTTTAATAAACATTAAATGTTTTCGTTAACTCCTGTAAGTGATTGGGACACTTAATTATTTTATAATACTTTTAACGGCTCTGCGTTCATGCTTTATTGAATAATTATTTATTTTAATTTAATTTGAATTGGAGCACATATTGCAACAAATTTACAGTACTTATATATTTGTTTCTACTATAGTGTTGGCACCACCAGTACAACTTTGATAGCTTATTATATGTCTTTCTTTTCGTAACTCAAGCGAAATATTTTATATTAAAATATTTTATTTTCTTAAAAGGGGAGCATTCTTAAGCGATTTTTTAATCTATTTTAACAGTTATTTTCTTTAAAATTTGCTTATGGCATTTTCGGTTTTAGGTTTCGAATATAGCACTTATTTCTAAATCCAAGATGCGGGCGCGATTTTTCGAATAATGGCAAGTTGGGTATCGTTTTCGAGATGTTTGGGAATGTTCAATACAAATATGGCACTCATTTCTAAATCCAAGATGGCAAACACGACAGTTCAAACAAAAGCAATATTCGTAATGAGCACCCCCAAATACCTCGAAAACGATACCCAACTTGCCATTATTTGAAAAATCGTGCCCGCCATCTTGGATTTACAAATAGTGCAATATTCACATTGAGCATCCCCAAATACCTCGAAAATGATACCCACATAGCATTTTTTTGAAAAAATCGTGCCCGCCATCTTGGATTTGGAAATGAGTGCCACATTCGTAATGAGCACCCCCAAGTACCTCGAAAATGATACCCATATTGCATTTATTTGAAAACTCGTGTCCGCCATCTTGGATTTAGAAATGAGTGTCATATTCGTAATGAGCATCCCCAAATACCTCGAAAATGATACCCATATTGCATTTTTTTGAAAAAATCGTGCCCGCCATCTTGGATTTAGAAATGAGTGCCATATTCGTAATGAGCATCCCCAAATACCTCGAAAAGGATACCCATATAGCATATTTTGAAAAATCGTGTCCGCCATCTTGGATTTACTAATAAGTGCTATATTCGTTTTTCATCGACAAAACCGAGCACATCTGTAGGCACCTGATCGACAATGTCGGGCAAATCTGTAGGCACCTTTAACTTAATGATGAGTTAAGCAAGATACAATTTCCCCACTTTTGAGGGAAATGTTATTCCATGGCATCATTATTTGTATATTTGTGTGCGTGCCGACGAGCGTAGTTACAAGTTGCTTACGCCTACATGAATTTGGTTTTTGCCTCACTTGTGACAGTTCGTTTGATATGAAACTATCATTCTATGCGTTATTATTCTAAGGTAGTAGTCTTAATTTTAGAGTCGAGTCCTGTAAAATTGAGTCGAGTCGTTATAAAACGCCTTAAAAGACTGAGTCTCTTCATCACTAATAACTGGTTGATGACTGTACCACCTCAGTCAACCGCGACCAAGGGACTTGTAAAGGGCCCGAAACGTTGGTTTGTTTGAAAAAACAAACATATGCGATTTAAAATTGGAAAAATAGTTTCATTTCCTACAAATAGTACAAATTGACTGTTTGAAGTATTCTTCAAAACACATCTTATTAGATGTGGTTTGAGGTGACGAGTGGCAGCTGCGTAGGGACACTCGTATCATCAACAGCCACCGGCATACTTATACTTCATCAGCAACATCAGCATTAACATCAGTACTGACAATAGCTTTATCAGTTTTGACGTTAGTAATTCTAAACGTTACCACATTCAAATATTTCTGTATTTTTAGTATTTGATACAAGCTTACGTTTAGAAGTGTTTGGCGTTTGGCGACAACGACTTTGGCACTAAAGCCGCTTGATACCATTCCACTCGTTTGTTTATTACAAATAGTAAATTCTATAGGTAAGAGGATGATAATAAGAAAAAGTAACTCGGCAACATTTATATAAATTGGCGACATAACGTCGCCTTACTTTCTCAAACTAGTACCTATCTTAAAGCACAACGTTACCGATATACAAAAAATGGATTGTATATACAAATTTTGCAGGCAGATGTCACATCATATTTTCATTTATTCTTAAAATAAAGCATCCAAATTAACGCCCTTGATAAGAAATTTAAAATAAATAGAAAGTTTTGCCATCTCCTGAATAATAACTCTTTTTAGGATAGGAGTTCAAGAAACTAAGGCATCGGTAATATATAAAAAAAATCATACCCAACGACGTAACAGCTGATCCAAATTCGATTGCAAAAAAGATTAACATCACGATATAGTGAGATAAAATTCAAAGAACTTACAATAAACAATATAAATGCAACTTACCCAAAACATCGAAACACACAGCGTCTCCAATGCAATTCGCAACGTTAAACGCTATCGTTCCCACACACATCAAAACGACGAAAGACCAAAACGCGGCTGTCATGTAAAAACTATCGCCTCCACTTTGCTCCAAAACCTTCGTGTCATTTGTCCGTTTTTCTTCTTTGGCATCGTTTTTTAACTGGTTTGTCACATCTTTTGAGTCAATACCGCGTTTTAATCTAGTGTTATTCAAATAATTAGTTACATTCAAACCGTCATCTTCAAAACATAGTAAATTACAACTCTGTTTAGGAATACATATTATCTCTCCCTCTCTTGTATCATCAAAATCCATATGCAAGAACGAGCAAGTTGTGTTGTCAACATTGTCTACATATATTGTGTTTACATATGTATCATTTGATAGATAAACTTCAAATGAAGTCTCATTGGTGCATGACCAGTGGCATTTATACTTTTCCAATTCGGAATTTGAAATATCATAGCTGGGATTTGTTTGAATACCAGAAGTGGGATTTCTCTTAATGTATACAGTATCGTTGAGTCGGTATACGTATTCTAAATATCCAGGGTTCGGTTCTGGTGGCTCTTCTGGCATTGGAATAAACCATAACCCACAATAGGAGCCTGTCATTACTGTAATTAATAACATGAACACTAGCTTTCTGTGATTCTGGAAGTAAAAAGAAAAACATTTATGAGTGGATTTACTTTTATAAATATTGCATTAGATTTTTACACATTTTAAAAATCAACAAAAAGCAAGCAATCCTGAGTTGCAAATTTTAATTATCGTTTTGCTCAAGTATATACTTATGTGATTATTTATATTTTTGATGTTTTTTAAACCATTACAGGCTATGGTAGAACGCAAACCAGGGCTATGTAGATACTCCATAGTTCTTTGTAGCTAGGAGTAAGTTACAGTCCCATTTAACATGTTTGTTTTATTATTAATTTGTAAAATAATTTTGATTATAAAAATCGATGACTAAATTTGCATTGTGCAAAACTAACATATATTGTTTATTACTGATTTTTGTTGAAGCAAACAAGGTCTTGGTTAATACTCGTATTATATTATTAAAGTAATATAGCATCAAAAAAGGAATAATTTAACTAATTAAAATACTAACTAGAAATATTATTGTGTTTATGATACTTTACATCACACTGTTATTAATATATATCCTTAAAATAAAAAGACGGCAGAACTAAGAGTGGGCTCTTACGTCAATGACAGACGTTTCAATCGTTTCAACCAGCAGTGATAGTTCATTTATTACCATGACTGTACAGACCGATGCTGCAACGACACTCTCACGAACAACAAGAGAATCAAATGTAGTTATGATACTATAATACACAGTACACTGCATCTTTACCTCGGTTCGAGGTTGCTTCCCTCCATTGAGTATATAACCAGAAATAGAGACGAATTGTCATATAATTTGTTTGAAAACTATTTTGCCACAACAATTCTGTGACAACTGCGCTCCGATTGGCCAGCCCGAATTCGAAACAATTGACGACTTGACGGGTGTCGTCAATTGTTTCACTTCAAATCGACCAGCTTAATTTGAGCTTTGCTGTAATGGACGAAAATTCCAAAATTACATATTTAATATTCAATTAGCGATGAAATGTGATTCCGTTTGTTTTGTAAATAGATGTTTTGCTGTTTTTCGCACACCATCGAATGGAACAGCCCCCATTGTTAGAGATATTATTTATCTTTATTACAATAAATACAGAATATTTTTGGAACATATGGAGACATCCACACAGGTCAGTTGTTGACGCTGTACTATTTCAGTTTTCTAATTTGTGATTTCAGCGCAAACGAGAGCTGATGTTTAAAAGTGATATAAGGCTCATTTACCTGATGAGTAGCCAGGGATGGATGGCCTTTATTTCGTCTCTATTTCTGGTTATATACTCGATGCCTCCTATAGAAGTTTTGATTCGTTATAGACACATCAAAAATCAACGAGCCACATGGCGTATACTTACTGGCCAATAGTCAACAAGATATCCAAACAACGGCTTAGCTAGAGCCCAGAATAGCGGCAGGACCGCGGTCACGAGCCCCATCACGCCCGGCGATATGCCCAGTTGACGGCCAAACACGTTCAACTGGGGTAATATTGGACCGAGAGCTGAAAAGAGACAAACATGATTCTTTATAGCAATATACAAAGTCACCAACTTAAGCTACGTGTATATGGCGGAGTTAGTGCGTCTTATCATCACCATCATATACTGTTATTATGACTACTAGTTTTTGTCATTACCGTCCATCAGTAGCACCTAATTCCTTCACCACTGTACAGTTTATTTTAGCTGGCATGAATGACGGAGTTGGGTATTCAATACTATTTTCTTTCTAATGTTAATTAGGAGGCAAACGTGCAGACAAGCCAATTGATCGCCACCCATTGACATTTTCATAAAAAAGGGTGGTATGTGGCATTAATATGATGTCCGGCTCAGTGTTGCATTTAAAACACTGTTTCTACTAGTGATTCAACGGAAGTGTGATAACGGAAACAGATGTCAAAAGTAAGTCTTAGTGGAAACGGAAGCAAAAGTGTAAATTCTAGATGTCAACGAAATAGTTCCAAATAGTTTAGAACTATTTTGGTATTATAATTGCATTTTTTTACAATTATGTAGCCAAACTTGGAAAGGAACTTTAATCAAAATTTCGATTGAAGTTTCGAATGGAAGTGAATTTTTGTAACGATAACCATAGCACTTTAAAGTCAATTGTGTAAGGTACAAATTAGATATGAGTCAAAATCTTGCGCGGAAAGCGCGAATATTCCGCGGAAGATATTGGCTTACATTGAGCCTTAGAGGTGGAATATTTTGTTCAAATTTAAATGGGACAAATAATGTGGTACCTTCTTTCTAACAAAAAAAAAAGAATCATCAAAGTCGGCTCACAAAGAGTAACGTACACACAAAAAAATACCATCGAATTGATAACCACCTCCTTTTTTGAAGTCGATTAAAAAATCGGACACAAGATTAGTATTTATGCTCTGGCCACACAGAGGTGGGCCTCGGAAGCGTTTTGGGCGCAGGAATTTTTGTAATGTACCAATTCTTATGAACCCTGCCATACTGAAACGCGCGGTAATCGCGCGTTTGCCGCGCGTCTGCCGCGCGTTTCAGTATGGCAAGCTTCGTATGAACTCGTACATTACAAAAATTGCCGCGCCCGGACCGCTTCCGCGGCCGCCTCCGTGTGGCCTGAGCATTAGTTTGAGCCGAAAAGCAGAAAATAAAAATGCAACTGGCAGCTTTTTTCGCAATACACGTTTAACCGGCCTGTAATGAACCCCGACTTAACTGTTCCTTCAGTGCCAAATGTCAAGGCCCATTCAATTGAATATCCCTTCCCTCCGTGCAATTGTATCAATATCAATTTATTTCTCCGATACGACAAACCTGGATCGTATATATATGTAAATGGAGGTTGTATTGACCGCAAATTTAAATTTGTATGTTAGATATAATAACAAACATCTATTTACGTGTGGATTTCGTATCTGCAGCGTATACTTTTGATCAACAAATGTATGAGGATTGAATATTGTAGAACGGCAAACATAAGTTTGCGGAAATTATCATAACGTTATCGAGCATTATGATTGTCGCCGAATCGTTCGTATTACAATTACAAGGCATTCTGTGCGTGAGCATCCTCAGTATTAGTGTCTTTAGAAAGAAAGTAGGTACACTCAGCAGCAAGTAAAGATTTTAGTAATAGTAGAGCTGGTGAAATTACCAGGTGACGGGCGCAGTGGCAGTGCCCCTAAGATCTTTGCTATTTAAAGCTCTGAGTGGCACTGCAACTGTTATGGACAGGCGTGTCGCTTACCACCAGGCGCACGAGTTGTTCATCCCGTCACTTGGTATTATATAAAAAAAAGCTTGCTGTGAAAGAGTTCGCCTGATGAATACTGTCACCGTACCTATTTCTGATGTCAAGCAGTAATGTGAACATTTAATTACTGCGTTCCGGTTCTGCAGGGTATGGGTGCTGGTGAAACTACAGGCACTTGGGACTTGTCAATCATATGCCTGGAGAACAAATCGCAAAACGTTATGTACGTGTGCAGCTCGCGAGCCTTTCCCAAAGGCGCATTCGCCAAATCTGGTCGCACCCTAACAAAAAATATACAGTCGAATTGAGAACTTCCTCCTTTCTTTAAGTTAGTTAAAAATGTCAAAAATTCGATAATGAAAGCCCAGGTTGTGACCTGGATGAAAATAACAAACATCGCGCCTAGCAGCGAACTAAAGCGCATCGAGCGCGTCACAACTTCCCCGCACACCGCACCGAGCGAGTTCCCGCGTCCCCGCACCCCGCGCATGCTCGCTAATACTCTTACTAGTTGGGAGACTACCACTGGCAGTGGTGCCAGATTAAGTGTTTTTTCGCCATTTAGGCTAATTCGAGGGGTCGTGCGGCGACTAAAAAAGTGATCGGCGATATTTAGGCTAAGTTTGAAATAGGAAAAGGTGATTGTAGGCTACTTAATAAAATGTCTGGGGAATTACAAACTTGATTGGGGATTTTGTGGGGAATGGAGTTGTAAAAACAACTCATTTGGGGGTTTGAGTATTTCTACGTGTAGGGAATTGGGAAAATAAGAGAGTGGGGAATATGATTCCCCAATTTCCGGCAGCAGAATTGTTTTCCTTAATTTTTAGGGATTTTATGGCTTGGGCGAATGTCGGCTACGTAGGATTAGATTGAGCAATAAACGAAGTGGTTTCTGAGCAGGGAACAAGTGTTTCTCTTCGAACCTAGACGAGCAAGATCCCTACCAAGAACATACAGTCCTCTGATCCTGAACCAGACCATCGACATCTTTGGTCTCATCAACAAAAATAATGTATTAACGTTGCCGAACATCTTAACATACAAGTACAAACAAGATATGACGTCCGTACCGCAATATCAATTCAGATTAGGATTATCAAATACCATTTCTTTACACATTGACCAATGTTAATAAAAAAAGGTCACTAACCTATGAAACAAAGATATTTTCGATTTTCATTATAACTTCTTAATTTCGTCTTCTCTTTTAACCGTTATCCACCTAAGCCCACAAATTCGCAACGGTGCGGTGTTCAAGGTTTGCGCGTACATTTTGTGAACGCACCACTGTTGTCTAGTCTCTTATAAAAGTGGCTTCTGATTGCACGGACCGCCTCGCCGCTCCGATTTGTATGGGCCGGTTCACGTCTCAGGCATGTGTAAGTTCGAATCCGCTTTGAGCTGTCATGGAAGCCATCAAGTACCTATGCAGCTTCATTTGCATCATGCGTCCTTTAATTTGATCGATGTTAATAAGCCTGTCCCAATCCGCCTCAAATTCGCCTTTGTTGAAAAGGGGTTACATCAATAGTGGTCCCATTCAATTCGAAAAATATATTCCCGGACGCATAATTCGAGCCACCTCGCGTTTTTGTCTTAAAGGGCTAGAATACAAAAGTAGTGTTTTCGTCGAAGATAAAGTTTTCCCCCGGTTTTGCAAATTCAAATTTACAACAGGGATTTATGGAAAAGACGTTTAGTATACTAGTCTCATAATTGCTTAATAGTTTTTGATCAATCCAACTGTTAAAAGCTTCACCAACTTGAACTTTTCTTCTTTATTCTTCCTTCGATATCCTTATTGTAAAATGAAAGTTCCTTAACCTGAAGTGAACTGTATATTTATATAAATGTCGATCTGACTTACAAACAAGAAACAACTAATTTAAGAATCCAAGAAATCTGATATGTGAATAACATGAGATCTGAATTGTGAATAATCAAACTGAAAATCGCTTATATTTATACCGGTACGGTGTCTCCCACACCGTACCGGTCCTATTAATGGGTCGCTACGCCGCTCGGCCAATCAGAGCTCCTGAATTATTCATTCTCCTCTGAATTTATCTCGAATTTAGGCTCGAATGAAGTGTCCGGGAGTGTATATTCCACATCTAAAGGTGGAAATTAGGGGATGAATCAGGATGATTGGATTTCACCTGCTTTCCGTTAGCCGATTTAAATAAATCTTGGGAAATAGATGTAATCCCATGAACTTTTGAAAACGGTTTTTTTTTAAATAAAAATGTTATAGAAACTAGATGCTGATGTTTTCAG